ACATACATACATACATACATACATACATACATACATACATACATACACACATACACACATACACATGCAGCACATGCAAATCTACACATACATATTTACATACTATATGTATAGATATAGATATAAAACAATAATTGCACTTGATTGACCACGAAACGTAGTGTAGTGAAACGAAGGCTTAGCGCCATGCACGGTTATCCGCAGCCTTGTGGCTGAAGCAGTCGCATCTGACCCCGGTCTGGCATCACTGATGAATGGCAAAGCTCTGGACGTGAACGTGCGGGCATGCTGAGAAGTGGGCGGGACCGGAGCCATTCAGGTGGCAACCTTTTGAACGAGCCCGCCGTGGTCCAAGGACAGGTCCCTGGAGGTGATGCAGATGAAGTTGAGAAGGCCCTCCATCAACGTGGGGAAGGGCCGCGCGGGTGGTAGCATGTATGCTGCTGAAAGGATGGAGGACTGCCTGACATTGACGACAGCGCCAGGACTGAAACATGTGCGCGAGATGAGGCAGTGGTACCCACGCGACAAGCAGAAGGGGCAAGAAGACCGAGAAGAGAGCTCGGAGATGGTCACCCTGATTGAGGAGGGAGGGACTCTAGCGAAGATCGTTGCCGCTTGCTCAGGACCAAGTCTCATAGTGAAGGGACACAAAAGACACCGGAACTAAAGACACCAAGACCCCTCCTCCAGGATGCTTTCCCTTCTCAAGGGTGCAACTGTTGCCTCAAAACTTTGTATAATACGGTACTTCTTTTCCTTTATGGGTTCTCGAACCTTCCAAGCCCCAAGAAGGTGAACCCTGTTTTTCAACCAAAGTTCTCTGATGAAAGGGCTCGGGGGTGCTGTGTGGAAATTGTCTCATGGACCTTTCCTTGAGGCTTGCCGGAGTGAGTGCTCTTGCATCCCTCTGGCCTGTCTTCCTCAGCCCCGCCCTACCTTCTCAAGCCGCTTTTGCGTCCCCCTCTCACGCGCATCTTGTCTGCCCGGCAAGTGGAGCCTGACGTTCGCATCAAGGCCCAGGTGTTGAGTTTCAGAGGAATGGAGGAGATGGTATCCTTCACGCATCGCTGCAGTGTTGGATCAAGACAAGTTCAAGAGTGAAGCTCAGAGCAGGGTGAAGCATATGGTATCATGTGGTGAGATGAGGCAGTGGTACCCACGCGACAAGCAGAAGGGGCAAGAAGA